AACAATGCGCACGGAAACATTGCGAGCATTGTGGCCAGCAACGTTATAAACGTTTGATAGTCCGGCTAATCCAGATAATCGTCCAAAATAATTCCATAATGATAATTTCCAACTTATCAAAAAAATTCCGAATTTCAACTTGTAAAATAAATTCAAATCAAATGCAAACCGGATAATAGTTCACAATTCAAAGCACAAAACTAAAAATGGCTCCAACCTGCTGCAATTCCTCGGGTATTGGTTGCCATTCGAAAATTTCGCCAGTCATTTTCTAGTGTCGTCTCTTCCTTCGTCTCAATTCAAATCAACTTTTCGTTTGCTTCAAATGCTCCTCTCTCACTGATGAATGTTTCGCATATCAACTTTTACAAATCCAATTAAAATTTGTCGTTTCTCCTCCAGAATATTACCTCAAAGTTGTGATAAAATCAAAAATATTTCACGTTCTATAATTAACAGTGACCACCGCAAATTCATATGAATCAGTCAAAACGAATGTAAGAATACGAATAATTACGGGTTATAAGGAATACAACATAAGACATAAACTGCAAAATAAAAGAAATTAAAGGCTTAGAATTACAAGTGTGAGTATTTTACTCATTCTTCAATTCAACTGACCAAAACACTATAAAATAAGCGGCGATAATCATGAATAATAACAATAATATGTGGCAAAAATTCGAAAATTTAATGAATAATGATAAAAATAATGTCTTTCCAACAAATCATATGATAACATCANGCAAAAATTCGAAAATTTAATGAATAATGATAAAAATAATGTCTTTCCAACAAATCATATGATAACATCAGCAAATAAAAAGGCTCAATTTCGCAACCCACTGCATTCTTATACAACAAAAAACACCTCAACATTGATTCAATTAAACCATTTTCCATCCCCGAACACACCGGATTTTCCCGTTCCCTTGGCTCCCAGCAAATTTCCTTGATTTAGACCATTGGAATTATAAATTCCTTCGAGAATTCCGGAAATATTTCCGGAAAAACACCCCCACCTCCCCCACCCCTTTACCCTCTTGAGGTGTTGTTGAGGTTTTTTCACTGCGAACACTTTCCAAAGGCCGTCGCATTGTTCCAGTGCGAACGTTTGAACTCAACAATTCGTTTCGATTCGCAGACAGCCGAGCTGACCTGATTCGCCAAATGAATGTTTTCGACTGATATGAGCAGTTATAAATTTAGAAAGTAACAACCGAACTTGCTTGCACCAGTTTAGTTAGTA